ATTAACGCGACGGTAAAGTAAGGAAACACCAGCATTCTTATATCAAACTTTTTAACTTAGTGTTGCTTTAGTTAACAATGACATTATCTTATTTTCTCAAGGAAAAAGGAGGAAAAATCTTTTAGACGGTTGAAATTTTCAAATTTGGGTACAATTTAGAATACAACTTAAACTCTATAATTGAGAAAAGCTTTTCATATTGTTGCTCTTAATCTTAGGTCCTCCCCTTCGAGTAAAATTTTCGGTAAACGAAATAATAGAGGAAGAGCCATCCGAAAAAGAAGAGAAGAATGATGCGCCGCTGCAAAAAAGTACTTAATTAATTGAATAGACAAATTTTTATTTTTATTTCATTATTTAATTAATAATATTATACATGTAAGATGAAATAGATAACAAAAAAGCCATTTCACCACCAATAATTCAGGTATTTTGTAACGTTTGGAATTCATTTTTTACTTTACATATAAATAATTATCTTTTCACCGATAGCCAGTCTCCTTTAACGAACCGAATTCGAATAAATCGGGGAAGATAGTACGTATATAAAATTAAATCATTTAATTATATACTTATTTAATATTTATTATCAACAATAGTTTAAGGTCAACAATAATGAATTTCGACTGATACACCTTATTGGTCGAGGCGGCACGAGCAAGGTGTACAAGGTCCAACATGAGAATGGACAAATATATGCTTTAAAAAAGGTTGTTTTTACTCCGAGTGACCAATCTTCGTGTTCATGTTATATCAACGAGGTAAATCTATTGAGAAAACTCGCGAATCGTGAGAGTATTGTCCGACTCTACGACGCAGATGTTAATTGTGAGAAAGGATACTTATTGATGGTTGGTCCCAATTTAATCTAATTTATTTATTTTAAATTTGTTATTTTGTTATATTTAATTTTTTTTTGTAGTTGATGGAATGTGGCGAAACAGACTTGGCAAATGTACTGAGTCAATCTAGAAATAATAATCCATTAAATTTGGAACAAATAAAAATATATTGGAAACAGGTATTGTATCGGCTGGAAAAGAGGATAATAACACAATTCATTGTTAATTATTTCTTTTATTGTATATTTCATATAGATGCTTCAAGCAGTATGGACCATTCATCAAGAAAATATCGTACATACCGACTTAAAGCCTGCTAATTTCATAATAGTTGGTGGTTCATTAAAGTTAATCGATTTTGGGATTGCAAAAATGATTGCATTAGATAAAACCAGCGTTCACACCAGTTCTCAGGTAAGTTTCCGAATAGCTATTTAAAAGAATATTAACGTCAAGGATTGAAATTTACTTTCTAGATAGGAACACCCAATTACATGTCACCTGAAGCTCTCTGTGGAATCAATGGGACTTCCGGAGCAAAAATAATAAAGGTGATTGAGCTTGTTTTCGATTCTTTAACGTATTAGTTCTAATTCTTTAAACTCATCATGATCCTTAACCTTCCCATTAAATGAAACAACAGTTAGGACCTGCATGCGATGTATGGTCCTTAGGGTGTATTCTGTACCAAATGGTATATAGCTGTACACCATTTCAAGTATTCTCGGGAATGGAAAAATTTAACAAAATTCAGGATCCATCTTATCATATTAAATTTCCGACTACATCATCATCCTCATCACAAAATAATAATGAACCAATTCAAGTTGATAATAATTTATTGAGAATTATGAAAGGTTGTCTTTTGCGCATGCCGAAAGAAAGGCCGACCATTTCGGAATTATTATCGGATCCATTCTTAGAGGAGCCTGGTATATAATTTATTTTTATTTTAACTCGCACCACATCAATAATATTTTATTTATAGACATATATTCGATTAGAAATACCTTCGATACTTTCTGATGTTGTACGTGAAGTATTAAAATATGCTGGCAATACCGAAAATGCTGATTCAATTACAAAGGTTTATTTTTCTCAATTTTTTATTTTTAATCATTTTATGCCAAAGTTTTAAGTTTTCGGCTAACCTTATCCGTGATTAGTGTATTATAAAACAAATAAAAAATAATCAAAAATTGGATTTTCGAAAGTGGGAAGTTGAAAGTCCAAATTGAAGTATCTTACAAGGTAAGTATTACACAAAATACTGTATACCTTTCTCGGATTGATTGTGTACAGTAGATATGGAAGTGAGATTTGGGAAACGCTGATGGTTTATTATCCATTCTAAGTATCCTCATTCATCCAGCAAATATCCCTGAGCCTCTTATAAATATGTAAGATTTATAAGAGGGGATTACACTAAAAATTACAATTAAGAGAACAAGTGGGTTTCTATTTATAATTCTTTAATATATTTAGAACCGATATTGTATTGTGATATGTGCTGATTAATAATATATAATTACATATTTTGCGATTATTGATTGAATCTTTATAATAATTCACTGGCTCACGGCGTCTTACCAAACCCCCCCCCCCCCGGGGGGGGGGGGTAGAATAATGCGCTTATATAATCTTAATAATTTTTTAAAACAACCTATGAAGAATGTATATTTCAGGAAATTATTTTCTATGTATTTTTAAATTATAGTTGCTTTGTACATATATTTAAATATATAGTAATTTTGTACATTTTAGATTTTATTAATGTTGTTTTTTCGATTTTTTTACCAATGTAATCCCAAAATTTGTATATGTCTCGAGTATGTTTGCTTTTTCTCACCGCAATAAAACAAGAGAGCAAGCCTACCTACTATATGACAAAGATAGTGTTCTTCGCAATATGTTCTCCCAAAAAAAAGGCGGATTCTAAATTAATTGGGTATTACTTGATATTTAGTCAGACTGATTCCTAATAAACGATGCACCAATTTTCTGGTCAGAATGCTCGTCATCATATGCTCTTAGAATTAGGAGGTTCAAATAATTGTTGATGTTGAGCGGTGATGACGTAGTTTGGTATAGACGAGTTATTGACTAAAGATGCGCTATTGCTATTCGATGACCTTGATAATTGATCAAGTTTACTTTTCAACATTTCGTTTTCTTTACGAAGTTCCTCGTTTTCACGATTAAGTAATTTGAATTTGCTGTCAAGAGTCCCCTGAAATATAAAAATTTAGTATTAATAAATAGATAAAAATTGTTTCTTTAATGATAAATAACTTACTAAAGATATTGCAGTTTCTGTAGCGATAACTTTGTTTTCAACGGTATTTTCATTCATATGCAAAAGTTTTTGCATCAAGACTTCTATGTGAGAAAGCAATGAACTTGGGTCTAAATTTAAATTTTGACCACGTGTCAGAGAAGACGAAGGGGATGTACTCGTAGAATTTCCTAAATAAGTAGATTGTGGCGAATATGTGATGTCTGAATTTAAAATTTTTCCTATAAAAAGAAATATATAATCAAACTTACAAGCCAAACTTTTATTTAATTCTGTGATTACATAAAAGATCAATTTACCAGGTGATGGCATAGGGTCATCTAATTTTGTAGCTGGATCACCGACTACTACAAATCTTCCCTTCTTAGTATGTGCTTTCTCCGTTGTTTCGTGGTTGATTCCATTTTCTCGATTCGATGGCTTAACATGCACATCGTTGAAAGTTAATCCATCACCTCGAGAAATGGTTGATTCCCGAGAAAGACTAGACGGAGAATGCAACGAATTTTCTCTTGAAACATTAGGTACTGAAATATTGACCGATTGTATATCATTAGCTGGATTTGGATGTTGAACGTCGAATCGGCCTCGCCTGCTGTCTAGAGCCGTTTTAGAATGAAAAACATCATCATAAATTTTCAATCCTAATAGAAATGAAAATAAAAAGCACGAGATTTTGTCACCTGTGAAATTCTCATTTGATTTCTGATTATTTAAGGTGGGATACTGAGCGTTATCATCATGTAGTGATCCTCCAGACGCGGATTTTTCCCGTTTCGTGTTTTCTATTACACTGAATCTTCCTTTTTTTACTTCTCCTTGTGTTTGAAGTTTATTTTGCTGCTGATTCTCTGAAGTAGCGCTCGAGGCGTTATTATTCGCAATAACCCCTTCCTCTTTTAGCTGTTGAAACGATGATATAGATTGATTTTGTAGAATCGAAATCAACTGAGACGATTGATGATTTTGTGCTGATGATGTTAGAGTTATTTCAGAACTCGATTTTTCTTCTTTTACGAATCTTGAAGGTTTTGTCGAGGTAGAAGAAACTCCATCGGAAATTTTATTTGAATTCTTTTCGGTGACTTCTGACGCGGTAAACGATACTTTTTTAGTTGCAGTAAGTGAATTATCTTCTGAAGATATTGACGCATCATCTTTTTGTTCAACATCCATCGTTTTATTTATATGTTCATCTTTTTTTTCGACATCTGCAAAGTCCCATGAAACACCCCGCGTATAAGTTATGGGTTTTTGCTGTACTCCTATTTTCAATAGAAAATGAATTTAGTGTATATATTATATAACACATACATATATATATATATATATATATATATATATAGACATACTTTTGTGTGGCCGTTGTTCTAATGGCGGCAAATTCTGTAGCAATTTGGTCACCAGAAATTCTTTTCTCTTTGCTTGTTTGAAAAATGGATGAGTCAAAAGTTTTTCTGTGTTTGGTCTTTAAATTAAGAGATTTTAAGTTTTTTTATTAAATACAAAGATTCAAAGAATGCAAAAATATTATTACAAAGTACAAAATACCTTTTAGATGGATCTTTTTGTAAACACGTATCGATCATTTCTTTCAGAGATTTTGAGTACTTATGTTTAGTTTTGTCTCTATTAAGAGTTGGAGGATCGTTTTGAATAGTAAGCATAAGCACCTATTTTTATAAAAACAAATTACTATGGGTAACGAAATTAGAGATAATAAACTGTGATCTTTTAATCATAACAACCTTCAATGGTGGATATTTTGCGAATGGTGCATGGCCTGTCGCTAACTCAATGGCTGTTATGCCAAATGACCATATGTCAGCTTTGTAGTCATAAGCTGCTTGTTCCATGACTTCGGGCGCCATCCAACATGGCTTCATTTGAAATCGAGTAAGTAATAATAACAAAGGAGCAAAATTATAGTGGATATATATTATTCATTGAAAAGTATAATTAATATTCTAATTACCGTCCCGACAAAAGTCCTGCGATAATTTTTTCGATCTCCATACTCGAGAGAGGAAGATACACCGAAATCCGCAAGTAAAACTGATCCATCCTCATCCATAAGAAGATTACCTGCTTTGACATCTCTGGAATCCAAGATATGATTTTTATCATGGTTAAGCTTTATGGCAAAAGCTCACAACTAAATAATTTAAAAATACAAACCGGTGAATATGTCCATGTTTATGTAAATAATCTAATCCTTGTAATGCTTGTTTCAATATCGTGGCTATTACCACCTCATCAAGACCTTCAGGATGCGCGGTTTTCATGATATCCAAACATGAACCTAGGATGCAATATATTAAAAAGCGTATTGAATTCATCTTTATGAATTAGAGAAAATCATAAAAAATAATGACAATGTATACCGGCTGCCATGTAAGGCGTGACTATATACAATTTGGATTCTTTCACAAATGAGCCATAAACACGTAGTATATTGACATGTTTCGATAAAGACATCGTTTGCGTTTCCCGCTATTTTAAATGATGTAATAAATTTTGATCATACCATTTTATTTCTATCACGATCAAAAAAGCTAATAATTATATTTACCCTTAATTCATCAATTTGATCTCTTTCAAAATAATCCATATCAATTATCTTCACTGCAACTTCTTTATGCAAAGGTTTATATACTGCATTATACACAATAGCTGACGAGCCATATCCTATTGATTAAGAAAGGTGAAAATAAAACGTAAAGACTTAAAATTATGAGAACAAGGTTTATATCTAAAGACAGTCTGCATAGTTTCAGTAAAAAAGGTCAAATATTGCTCTCTACCAATAGGATTACGAATCTCATAATCTTCGAAATTACTCGAAAATACGTGCTCGTCTGCACTATGATTGGTTGCAGAAGAGACGGAAGATATACTCATACTTCTTCGTGTTTGTAAGAGAGGTTTTTCCATAAAAAAGTTTAAGATTTACAAATAGGTTAAAGTCATTGTAAGAGTCGAGGAACGTTATCGTAATTTATCGTTGATCTCAATAGATTCTAAAAATTCTAAAATTAACGCCTACCCCGCAGTTGGTAAATTTGAAAAATTAAACCACTACATTGGGTCCCTGTTACATTACATTACTGCACTATTAATTGCATTTCATATAAGATCTTGATTTTTTATTTGTGCATTAAATGTTTTGCATTGTGTGAGTCATAATTCCTGACATGGGTGCTCTATAGTGTTGGCGCGATAAGATACACCAATGCATTATAGAATTAGCATTGAATTTATAAAGAAATATATATGGTAAGTATCGGCTGTTTATACTATGCATAGATGATAATTACCCTTCTAACGAATAGTGGAATTATTTTCAAGCGTTCCATTATTCTGTTTTTCGCCATTCTTTGATCTTATAGATTTTCCTCTACTTTCAAAAATTTTCCAGAATTTCAGATTTTCGTCACTCGATGCAGTTGCTACGAATTGTCCATCAGGACTAAGCGTTGAATGTAGCACACGAGTATCATGAGCCTTTATGTTTTCGATCTTTTGCAAGGAAGGATACGCCCAAATTGTTAAATTGTTATCAGGAAATCCATGGGTGGATAAAAGTTCCTTATATTCCCTGGACCAAACGATTGAAGTTACTTGTGAGCCTGTATTAATTGATTGAAGGCGATTACCGTTACTCGTGTTCCAGAAATGTATGGTACGATCATGTGAGCCTCCACCACTAGCCAACAGATTCGTCTGCCATGGACACCATGCGATAGCCTATTTAATAAATATTGTTATTATAAATATCTTCAAGAATAGAATTAGGTGATTGGCAAAATCAAAATTATACCTTTACTGCCGCTACGTGAACTTCTTTTGAATATTTTGGCAGGCTAGATCTGCAATCCCATATGTTAACTCTATTGTCATTACCTCCACTAGCAAGTTGGAGTCCATCAGAACGCCATTTTAAACCACAAACTTCATCTCTATGTCCCGATAATTCAGCCATACGGTGTTCCGCTATCCTTATATCGTGATTCCATATATTCCCGTCTTTACAACCTGACGATAATACAAAGTTTCGCCAAGACAAAGCAGCAACACGCGCGGAATGTCCCAACATTGATCGAATTTTTTGCTCTTTACTGACATCCCAGATTTGCGCATCACCGTCACTCATCCCAATCGCCAAATGTTCACCATCAGAAGACCACGTTAAACTGGCTACATAATCATCAGCACTAGAAGCTTCGCCAATAGAAGTAACATTACCGGTCTCCGCATTCCATATATAAACATTTTTATC